GTCACTTGCCGCACTTTAAATTTCCTCAATTTCTCCTGCATCTCCCCTTTCTTGTCTGAAGTCTGAGATTACGAAGTTTGTCCATTATATGGCTTTTCTTTAAAAGTAGGCAGTCATACATAAACGCGTGGAGGCCTGCATGCGCCGGTTACTAAGAAGATGGCCAGTGGGCCTGTAGACAATGCTTATCCTGTGGGGGGGGTGGGGTGTGTCTTCAGTATTGCAAGGCTCATCTACCGAAGAGGGTGAGAGCAAGTATATAACCTTGCAGAATTTTCGTAATCACTCCTAACTCTTCCCAGACCGTCCAATTGTCCGTGACGCCTACCTTTACCTGGATGTGTAGCTGACGCACGATGTGCGTTAATCGTGTAGCACATCCGGATTTCTGCGTGATTCTCCAGCGTCCATCACGATTTACTGTGTCGAAGACCTTCGTCAGGTCCAATATGGTAGTATTGGTGTGGGTGTGTATTTTCTGGATCTTCTTTTATAGTTAGCGGGCAGCAACAATCATTTCGATGATTCCGCGACGATGCGGATACCACACCGGCTTCGGGGGGGGGGAATTCACTGTTCTAGATGGCCGTTGAGACTCTTGAGAGGGACGTGGGCGAAGATCTTCTCGGCAATGTTAAGTAGCGTGATTGCTCTACGATTATCACAGAGTTACCATTTACCATTTCGTTTATAGAGATAAAGGATAGTTGCATCCTTGAAGTCCTGATGAGGTTGTCCTTGAAGCTACATCTAGAATAGTGTTGCGGTGTGATCCATCAGCCAGGACCGCCGTGCCTTTCAACTTTGTTCGGCATCGTGTCGGACCCCAGTGATTTGTTGCACGATTTTGATGGTTTTTGGTGGGGAAGGTGGGAAGTCCAGGCTATTGTTCGTCTCCACTTGGAGGAGCCGGTCGATGTCGCCATGGCTGGGTGGTTGGGGACGGTTCTGGAGTGCACTGCCCAGCGCTTCAAAATTTGTGATATCCCCCTGAAAAGTATTGTTCCGTCGGAGCCGAGGCGACACAGTTCCTTCAGCTGTGGGACTGTAGACGGTCTTCACTGAAGCAAAGTTCGTTTTCTTATTGCGGTCCAAGCACCTTTGAATTTCTTCGGCCCTGCGATCCATCCAAGCGTTCTGTATCTCCCGTAACCGTTACTGCACCAGGTAACGACATCTGAAGGTCGCTTTACTTGCGTGGACTTTGCGATCGATGCAGGCTTTGTGCGATCTGTCCATTTCGGCGAGCAAGTTTCTGATGTCTGCGTCGTTGCCGTCAAACCAGTCCTTGTATTGACGACCTGCGCCTCCGAGGTCATCCAGGGCGGTGGAGTTGATAACCTTCCACACTTTTCGCACCGTGTCTCCACGGTGGAGTTATCGTCTGGAGCCTGCAGGTCTTCCAGTCGCTGGGTCATTTGATCGCTGAAATCGAAGCGGTGAACAGGCAAATTCAAGAGAACAGTATTTAACTTATCTGGTGGCTGGTTATCTTGTAGTCTCCTGCAAGATTGCAGTCGGAGTCTCATCTCGGAGATGACGAGGTGGTGATCTGTCCAGCTATCGTCATTTCAGATCGCCTTTGTCACCAGCACGTCTTGTCAATCTCGCCTCCGGACAATGAAGCAGTTCAGCAGATGAAAACGTCGCAGTCGTGGGTGCACCCAGATTACTTCCCTCATCGAAAGGCGGAAAAGATGTTGGTCAACAGGACACGATGTTCTGTGCAGGCTCACACAAAGTGGAGGCCGTTGTTCTTGCAGCCGCTGAGTCCATGGGATGCATCACTGCCTTTCGGGCGGGGTGGTCTGTTCGGACGCGCGCATTGAAATCACTAAGGACAAGCACCTTGTTCGTCTTCGGTACAGTCGCCAGAAGGGCGTGCAGGTTTTTGTGGAGGTTGTTCTTCGCGTCGTCGAAGCTGGTTATTGGGGGGAGGCGGGGGCTGGGGCTGGGCGAAGGATGTAGGCGCCGACGATGGTGGCGAAATTGGCTCCTCGAGAAGACAGACGCAGAGTCATGAGGCGGTCGTTGATGCCCTGCGGCAGGCAGGACAGTCTTTCCACGGTGTCATTCCGGGTAAGAAAAGCGACGCCAGCATCGCGTCGCTTTGCCGTTGAGCTGTCAATCCAAAAGCTGTGGCCTGCACCCACCCCCTCTGTTTAACTTTGTTTAGAGAAGCGGTCTGACCAAGAACAGCAATGTCTACTTTATAGCGGGCCAGTTGTCGAGCGACTAGCACCGTCCTCCGTTTCGGCCGGCTGCTCCTCGGACTGCTCAGAGGAGAACGAGCATT